CCTCCCCAGGCGGCCAGGTGTCCTCCTCTGGGAAGCCCTCCTTGCTGCCTGGCACATCCTCCCTCCCGGCCTCACTGGATGGGCTCTTCCATCAGCTTCTTACTGAGTCACTTGATCACGAAGCTACTGAAGGGATGGGCAAGGGGACTCACGCTGACAGGGTACCCACCTGTGTGTCAGGCCTGGCACCTGCCGCCCGTTGTCTCATTTAACCCCCACAACACTGTGGTTGCCAGTGCCACTTTACAGAGAAGACGGCAGAGGTACAAAGGCTGAGCGACTTGCCCAAGGGGCAGCTCGCATTGCCTCTCCTGGGTAGGGGTGGGGGCAGCCACTTTGCGCCAGGCACCCTGCTAGGCACTCTGGGGGGCGGAGGGGAGAACTGGGGTGGCAGAGAATCTATTTCTGACTGGCTGGCAAAGGAAGCAGATCTACACAAGTCCAACCCACAGACCACAGTAGGCGAGTGACGGCTGTGGATCTGTAGCGGAGGAGTCCTGGAAGCTTCTGGAAGGAGGCATCTTCAGGCCTGGCTAGATTCCTCACTGCTGCACTCCCATGACCGCCACAGGAAGAAGGGCAAGCCTTGGCCTACAAAGCTCTGGTGCCCCGCGGGTACTGCCCTGGAGGCTGCAAAGGGAGGAGGAGCAGCTGTCCAGCCAGCTGCCCTGCCAATGACCCCACCGTGGCCAGGGCCGGCCTGCCTCCAGCCCTGCCAACCTGGCCTGGCCCAGGCGGCTCCCAATCACAGGGTCTTCTCTGCCCAGCTAATGACCATGCTGCCAGCAGCCCTGGCCGCCACCCTCCTTCGGGGGAGGCAGCAGCTAACTACAGAGCCTGCTGGCCCAGACAGTGGCCGGGCCAAAAATCACAGCCACCCATCACACCACATCCTCTGGCCCTGAGGCTGTGGTCTCCTCCCCTACCTTCCAGGGTCACGAAGGACACTGCAGAAGGCTGGAGCTCTGGAAGCTCAGACACCATCCCCCTCACCACAGACCCGGGGAAACAGGACCACAGCATGGGTCTGATTCACCCCAAGTCACACAGTCAGCCAGTGCAGAGCCCAAGGCCCTCTGCTCAACCCAGCACTGTCCTTCCCTAGCCCTGAGAAGAAGGCTCATTTCCAGGCTTTTTACCTGCGTAGTTCACTCTTTTTACCTGCGTAGTATGCTCTAGACACTCCCCACTGTCTAGCTGTGTGACCTTGGGCAAGACAATGTACCTTTCTGAGCCCTGTCTTCCAGGGTGTAACAGTAGCTACCACCCAGAGTTGTGAATGAGAGGATCTGTAAAACACTTAACACAGTGTCTGGCTCAGAATAAGTTCTCAAGAGCATTAACAATTGCTCATATCATCATCACAATATTATTAAATGAGTATGTAGATGCATTTTACAAACTGTAACATGTGATGCAATGGTAGGTATTGTTTATTACTAGTACTGTGAAGTTAAAGGTTCAGAGAGGGTGTGACCAGAGGGTTGGGTAATCCAGGAATGTTTCTGGGGGGATTTATGACCTGAATTAGGCCCTGACTGATGTGGAAGTGAGCAGAGCGGAGGAGCATCATAAACAAAGGGACCACACATGATGTGTTTAGGAGACAGTGGTGAGCAATGACCAGGGGTCCACGCAGTGGCTGCAGTGGGCAAGGCCTTGAATGCACAACAAAGAGGCCTGGTCTCCATCTTACTGGTAAGAAGGAGTCACAGAGGGTTCTCAGTGGGGGCCCCATGGTGCTTTCTGCAATATGAATTCTGTCTGGCATTCAAGGCCCTCCACCGTCTGGTCACTCACCCACCCCTCTTCTCCACACCCCTCTCTGACCCCACAGATCCACCATCATCGTCCCAGAGTTCTCCCCACCTCCCTGCTTATTACACCATCCCACCTTCTCCACCATTAGCCCACCTCACGGTTCTCGTTCACAGTGAAACACCCTTTCATTAAGTACCTTTCGTGCCATCTGCTTTACATATATGACCTCACAGTCACCCGTAACTACCCTCATTTTACAGAGGAGCGAGCAGAGGCCTGGCTGGGTCAGGTGTCTTGCTCACAGTCTCACAGTGAGTGAGTGGCACAGCCAGAATTCAACCTTGAACTGATGTCGGGACCCCTACTCTCTAAGGCAAGTTGCCTCTAGCCTTAGCCCAGACCCCTTTCTCCTTGATAAAGCCTTCTGGGTTACTCCAGTCCCCAAGAGCCTCTCCGGGCCACCCCTCCTGACCCATTTGGAATCGGAGGCCCACAGCTTGAGCCTGGTTCATCTATAGCTTGGTTTCCACTGTTTCCTGCGGGTCCACCTTGCCCCCCAGTAAGAGAGCTGGGGTTGATATTAGGTCACTTTCTTCCTGTCGCCCCTTTCCCCCGGATCTGAGACTTTGTCTAGCACTGACGGGAACCACCTGCCTCCTCTGGTGGGGCTCAGAAGCTCAGCTGAGCACACAGCAAACAATTTCCCTAAGCCCGCCTCGCAGCGAGGCGAGCCATAAATTATTCACCGCACCTTTGTGCCTAGGGAGGCCAGAGGGAATGAACACCCGCTCCCCACAATCCCAAAGAAAGCCAGCAGCCCTGGGATGAGGGATCGGAACCTAGAGCCCCTTGCCAGGGTCCCCAAGCAGATTTCTGAGGGCTGTGGGCCCAGGGAGGTAGCGTAGGGTAGCCTGACCCATACAGCTGAGCAAACCCATGTCTGTGAATCTGCAACAGTAGCCTCCATTCCAATCCAAGGCAAGTCTGAGAATTTCTCTGGATTTCCTGGTCAAAATCCAAGCTTCCTTTTCTTACAGGGAAGGAAATAAATTATCTGGCCACGTGCTGTATATTTATATCTCATTTAAAGCTCACAACAACCTTGTAAAGGAGGAATTCTAATTTACAGAGAAGCAGCTGGGGCTCAAAGGAGTGAAGTGACTTGCCCAACACCACATGGCCAGTGGGAGGAATCAGAGCAGATTCACGCCGCCTGGTCTGTCTGACTCACTGCCGTCTGCCCGTGCCGCTTAGCCCTCCCCGTTGGGAGCTAGTCACCACAACGCCTTTTCCATCTGGGTAGCTTCCAGGGCACCTGGGACGCAGTCAGCACTCAGTTCCTGAAGCAAACTCCAAGGCCCTGCGCAGGAGGTCTCACCTCTCTGCCCCCCAGCTTCCCACACAAGGCAGCCATTAGGAACAAGCCCAGTCTTGGCAAACAGCAAAAATTCTTCAGCAATTGACAGTGTGCCGGATGTGATGGCTCCATTATCTGAGCAGGTAACAAACAGCCTGCCTTGACCCCATTTTACAGGTGAGGCTTGGAGCCCTGGATGCATGCAAAAGGTCCCAGGTGGCTCCCCAGCCCCGTTCTGCCTCACTCCAAGTTCCAGCTCCTTTCCACCCCACCGTGAAATGAGATCACAGGTGTGAAATTATCTCATCAAAGAGCAGCTTTGTTTAGATGCAGGGATTATTATGAGAATCTGAATCCCCACGGATGGTGGGGGTGAGGCTGGAGAATCCCAAGCCCCTCAGTCACTTTCCCTTCCAGTTCCCCCAAACACTCCACCCCCAGGGACCGAGCTTCCAGCCTCCAGCAGATCTCTCCACCCTCCCCCACCTCCCAGGGGCTTTCCAAGGTGGATTCCCCCTGACTCCAGGAAGCTGGGCACAGCAGGGGTTAACCAGTCACGGCCAAGGCCACCGGGGTTCCTACCTAGGCCACATCCCCTCCCCCTCCCCACCCAGAACAAGAGCCCACAGGGTCCATACCAAGCACTCTTTCACAACGTGCCTCTCCCTGCACAGCCCCAGGGGGGCAGCAGAAGAAGCCCCTGCCTGGGAATCCAGACCCTCAGACTGTGCCCCCAGCCCTAGCAGCCCCAGCTCTGAGACCCTGTGCAACCCGCTCCCCGCCTGGACCAGAGGTGTCTTGCAGGTTCCCTTGTCCAGGAGAGGCTGAGGTCAGACCTGAGGTTGGGGCCAAAGGCTATGGGGCTGCTGGTCTGTCTCAGGCCCCAGCACCCTGCACACAGATTCTCACAACAGCCTGATACAGGGTCACCCAGACCTCACATCAGGGGTGGGAAAACCCCAGCCAGCCACCCAGAAGATGCTAACTTGGGAGGGGGAGGGGACACCTTGAAGGATGTTTGGGAAGGTTTTCTCAAGTGTACTTCTGGCTCAACTACTCACTTGCTTTAGGACCTCAGCAATTGGCACCCCCTGTCCTCAGGCCTCAGTGTCCCCCTTACTAATGTGAAGGATGTGAGCTGGGTGAGTGCTGAGGGGCCGTATCTCCTGCAGTTCTGATGGGCTGTGACTTAGGGACCTCTACAGTGTGTTCTCCCATCAGATAAGCAGCGTGTCAGGACCTCCGGAGCGTCTTAGAGACACTGGAGTCTGGCACACAGGGTACAGGGGCAGCTGCTCTGTCAGAGAGGGAAGCTGTGGAACTGGGAAGCTTCCCACTTCTGCCCTCAACTCTGGGTCACCTTTCCTGGGAGGTGACATGACAATGGAGTGGGAGGGAAAGAGGCCAGGAGAAGCCACGTCCCAGCCTCAGGATCAGCTCTCCGATGCCCCAGTGGCCCCCACCTCGACCCCCACCCCCACCCCACCTCCTACCATGCGGCTCTGCACTTCCTTTCTTTTTCTCTCCCTTCTCTGCTCCTTTCCCTCTCCAGCATAACACTCCTCCCCAGTCTCAGCACCAGAGTAAAAAGAGCAGGGTCAATCAACCCCGTTGAACCTCAGTTTCCCCATCTGTAAGCGCTCTTAACAGCACACAACACCTTCTATCACACGGAGTAGTGAGCCATTTGCGCAAGGGTGGGGCGCGGAACGGCACACAATGGGCGCTCAATAAGTGCCCGTTTTCTCCCTTTTCCTCCTCCCTTTCCCGCGCCCCCTCCTAGCCAGTTCCAGCCGCAGCTAGTACCCAGTGCACACCCGCAGGTGGCCCCAGCGCTGCCGGGATGGGGTCGGAGGCCGCCTGGCATCCGGGGCTCTCTCACCTGCACTTCTCGGCTCTCTCTTGTGCTCTCTTGGGGGCAAGCGCTCAGCTCCTCGCCTGGGGCGGCAGGAAGGTGGCAGCTTCGACTCGAAGCACCAGCCCAGTCTGGTTCAGTCCGACTATCCAGCCCGCCTTGGACCCCTCACGGGGCGCTGAACCCGGGCCGGGGTTTCCTGGATGTTCGCACGGTCCCAGGTCCGAAGCACCGGATTGGAGGCAGCTGAAGGTTCGGGTTTCGGGCAACCAGAGTCTGGAGGCGTCCGGGCTGCTTTGCACTCAGTCACGGGGCTGGGGGCACCCCGCCTTAACCGCGGTCGGAGGGCTGGGGGCTCCAACACACACTATAGAAAGGCTGGGAACGAGCCCTTAACCCTAGAGCCGTATGGTGGGCCAGGAGCGTCCCTCGCCGGTGCACTGGATCAGGGTCTGGGGCTCGGGGCGCCCCGGCCACACGCCCCGGACCGCAGGGCAGGGAGCGTCCCGGCGGAACCCGGGTCTGGGACAGGCGGGGCAGGGCAGGGCGCCGGCGAGGAGGCGCGGAGCCCGGCGGGGAAGTCTTCTTAGGTTCGGATTCGGCTCGCTCTGCAAAATGGGGCGGTCCTCGGCGCGGCAGCTGACTCCAGAGCTCCGGGCCGCGGCTATACTTCCTCCTCTTTCCCCGGCTCGCTAGCCGCTCGCTCAGTCCCGCGCCGCAGCCGCTGCCACCCCCGCCGCTGTCATCCCCGCCGCCCACCCCCACAGGAGCTGCAGTCGAGCCGGAGCCGAGCAGAGCCTAGGTACCGCCGCTCAGCGCCGGAGCGCCTGCCAGCGCGGCCCCGCCCGAGTGGGGGCGGGGTCATCCTGAGGCCCCGCCCCACCCCGGCCACCGGCAAGGGGCGGGGCGAGCTCCAGATCCCCTCCCCGCGGTCCCGCGCCGTCGGGCAGCGGGAGCCAATCGGAGAGTGGGAAAAGAGCGGAGGTCTGCGGAACGTGGGCTCTACCTCGGAGAGGGCGGGGCAGAAGTGGAGAGGTGCCGCCCGAGAGAGGACAATGGAGGGGGAGGATGGTTTAAAGAGCTGAGCGAGAGGAGAGGGTAACCTGGGGACCCGGATGGAGGGAGAGCTGGGGAGGGCTGGTTTGTCTGGGACCAGGGGTGGGGGAGTCATGGGGTAGGAACAGGGGTCGGGGTGGGAAAAGGATTAGGATGTAGGCTAGGTGAGTTGTCCGGGGTAGTGGAGTCCCCAGGGATAGTGGAGCCCTCGGGACTGGTAGGACACACCCTCACAGTACCCTTCTCCTTCCCAGCTAATAGGGCTCAGCGCGAGGAGGCGAGCTTGGATGCAGTGAAATATTCAGGTTTCAGGAAGCGGTGAAAAACAAGTTTCTGAAGATAAAGAGCGGATCTTCCTTCAACATTTCGCCTTTTCCAGCGCCCATCCGCTGGGAGGTGCGTCGTTGTCAGTTTTAAAAAATAAGTTAAGAGCAGAGATGTGTGAGGACCACACACACACACACACACACACACATCCTCAAGAGTACTGAGTTCTGCCCCGAACTTCTGTCCCTCGGCCCCCCGCCAGCCTTGGGGCTGGAGCTGTGTCTGATTTATCTCTGAGTCCCAAGCACCTAGCACAGGGCGGGGCACAGAGCTGGTCTTGGAGGGTTTTAATGTATGAATGAATGAGTGTTGAATGTCCTGCAGGGGCCAAGTGAAAGCCACTAATTGGTCTGGGGAGCGAAAGAATGGAGGCCGCAGAGGACAGGTTATCTGTAAGCCTCTCCACCAACCTTATGCAGTAGGTACTCCATTTCACTGATGAGGCCACCAAAGCAGAGAGAGGCCAAATGATGTTCCCAAGACCATATAGCTGGCAGAGAATGCCGTCTACTCATCACTATCACTATCTATAGGTCAGGGGACTTCCCTGGCGGTCCAATGTTTAAGACTCCATGCTTCCAGGGGCTTCCCTGGTGGCGCCGTGGTTAAGAATCTGCCTGCCAGTGCAGGGGACACAGGTTCGAGCCCTAGCCGGGAAGGCCTCACATGCTGCAGAGCAACTAGGCCCGTGCGCCACAACTGAGCCTGCACTCTAGAGCCCGTGAGCCACAACTACTGAGCCCGTGTGCCACAACTACTGAAGCCCATGCACCTAGAGCCCGTGCTCCACAACAAGAGAAGCCACCGCCATGAGAAACCAGCACACCGCAACGAGGAGTAGCCCCCGCTCCCCGCAACTAGAGAAAGCCCGCACGCAGCAACGAAGACCCAACACAGCCAAAAACAAAATAATTAATTAATTAATTAATTTAAAAAGACTCCGTGCTTCCACTGCAGGGGGTGCAGATTCCACCCCTGGTCGGGGAACTAAGATCCTACATGCCGCGCAGCGTGGCCAACAAAACAACCACTAACATTCTAGGGCAAAGCTATGTGGCTTTGAACAGGTTCCTCAACCCCTCTGAGCCTCTGGTTCCTCGTCTGTAAAAGGGAAATAAAGATGTTGCTACTTGGCAAGAACTGGGCAGGCACCAGGCTTCAGAGGATGGAGGGAAGGGTCTTCCTGGCAGAGGAAATAGCATGTGCGAAAGCATGGAGTCTGAAAGAACACCTCTGGGGACCCCTGGCCTATTCTGGGGGGATTAGGAGAGTCTTCCCTCAGGGCAGACTCGGGCCAGAAGTAGGGGTTGGTTAGCTTAGGAGGGAACCTCAGGGAATGGACAGTACTCTGTCTGGGCATCTCTCGGCTTGAGGTCTCTGTAATCAGGTATTTCGTGTTTAGTTGGACCCACTGGGCCAGGAGCACCTCCGTGGCTATGCGCCCCCCACCCATCACCAGCAGAGAGCCTGGCGCCCTTGTGAGACCTCAGCACTGGGAGATGAATGAGGCTCTCACAGAGCCCCCAAAGCGGGTCAGATGAGCAGAATGCCTGCATGAAAAGGAGGCTTTCAGAACAGACCCTCCATGACCCTTGAGGCCCTGGAGAGAGGTGCCCAAGGTCACCAGGAGGTGACCAGCACACAGTTCTCAGACGCCCACATTTGCCCTCTGACTACCCTTCCGGGGGAGAAAGTCTCTTGACGCGGGAGAATCAGGCCTTTTTGTGGCCAGAGAGGCTCACGAAGTGTGACAGAGGCACGGTCACGGTGGCTTGTCTGAGGGTGATTGAGGGCTCAGAGGCCGGCTCTGAACCTAGGCCTCGGGGCTGACAGGAAATGCTAGCCTTGTCAGCCTGGTGCTGGGCTCCAAGAACCTTCACCCTCCTGACATTCTTCTGACCTTACTTTCTTCTGCAGCTTCAGCTCTGTTGCAGATTCCTTCCCAATCTCAGTACAAATGAACATTCACTTTCATGCCTACATTTACATTAAAAATTTCACATTTCTTTTTCTTGAATAGGACCACCGAATTGCGTAAGGCTTCACACCCTGTGAGATCTGCTTCCAACAAATCATTACAGTGCACCCACCACGTGCAGGCTCTGTGCTTGGTGCAGGCAGATGCGGCCCTCCTGCAGCTCACTGACTGGTGGGGGGCTGATAGGCTCAACTCAACTTGTTGGCCCTCACAATACATCCTGCTTTCCTGCCTCTGCCTCTGCCGGCCCGGATTCCTTTCCCCAGCTCTCATGCCTGCATGCGCCCCACTCGGCCACTGGACTTCTCTCCATCCTCAAGGCCCAGTACACAAATTGACCTCTCTGAGAAGCCTGCCTGACTCCCCCAGTGGGGAGCACGGCATCGTCCCACGGAGCTGCTGACGCGGCTCTTTGTGCCGCTCTTAGGGTTCTGATCTGCTTAGATGTTGGGCTCTTTCTGGGTTGGTTCTCCCACTGGAGTGTGAGCAAGGAATGCAGTCTTGTTTCTCTCTGTCCCCATCCCACGACCCTGCCCCGCTCATCCCACATTTACCAAGAATTCTGAGGCTGGATGAAGTCCCAGACCAAATATTGGGCACCCAGGGATGGGACAATCAGGGAGGAGCTGCCCTTGACATCAAGGAGCTCCGGTCCCAGGGCTCTCTGCAGTGGCGGTGTACACAGAAGGCGCCACGAACACAGAGGAGGCTGCCTGATTCGGCAGGGGGAGCGTGGGGCAGGGTCCAGCCGGCTTCACTGGGAAGGTGGCACCTGAGGCAGAGGGAATGCTGAGCACAAAGGCATGAAAGTGGGAACTGGCAGGTGATGGGTGAGAAGTTCGGTGTGTTTGGGGGAATGGGAATGACACAGGAAGGAAGAAATGGAGGTCGCACTGGGAGCAGTTAGAGAGCAGACTCTGGACCCACATGGCCTGGGCTTGAATCCCGGCTCTGCCATCACTAACTCTGTCCTTGCTCTGTGCCTCGGTCTCCCCATCTGTAAAGTGAGAATAATACTAGTACCTACTTTGTAGTCTATTTATAAGGATAAAATGAGTTCATTTCTATAAAAGCTTAGGGCAGTGCTGGTACATGATAAGCCTCGCTGCGAGTGTCTGATAAACAGGATGGAGCTGGAGGGGACTGCACAGGCCACGTTAGGTGGGGCTTTGAGTTTGGCCTTTATATCCAGAGGGTACCAGAGCGTTAACAAAGGGGGAGGGGTGAAGGGGTGGAGGCGGCTTGGCTTAGATCCAGCCTTGCGCCTCTCAGCCCGTGGACACCCAGAGGGCCTCCTGCCTCCCCAGCCCTGCCCACCTCTCCCCTTCCCTGGCCTTCCGGTGCCCCCGGTAGCCCTGTGGCATCAATTGATGTACAGTGGGACTGTAGGGGCTGGGGCCACCCCTACCCCGGAACACCCAGGGAAACTTTATGGCCCGATTAATTGCCAAAGGAGGTCAAAGAGGGGCCCCGAGGAGGACCAAGGTACATGGGCGGGGCCTAGCATCCAGGCCCTGGCTGGGCTGAAAGGATGGTGGGATTGGATCCAAGTGTGTGTTCCGTGGGGAATGGATGGGGCTGGGGGGAGAAAGTCAACTGCCAGGACTGAAGGTGAAGTTGGATATCGGACACTTGGGGCCTGATGCAGAGGGCTCGGGAGCCAGACGGGCATCCTGGCCCAGGCACCTCCCCGCTCTGCCTCGGCTTCTCCGTGAGTAAGATGGAGATGAGAAGCGTGGCCCCTTGAAGGTGGTGGGGACGGAAGGAGAGGCAGTGCTCCGTCACCAGGCCTGAGGTGGCATGGTGCGTGTGCCGACACCAAGCTCAATTCCAGGGCACCGAGGCAGAAAGGCCAGGAGCAGCCGCGGCTGGAGAGGCGGCAGGGGGCGTGTCACGTGTCTTTGTCATCGAGTTTGGCTTCTTTGCTGAGGGCAGAAGGGACCCCTGGGAGGGTCGAAGCGGCGGTAACAAGGTCAGATTTGCCCTTCAGAGCTCAGCCTGATCACTGCCTGGAGAAGAGACTGAGGCAGGGAGGCTGGCTGCCACCTGTTTTAAGAGTCCAGGCGACAAGGAGAGATGAGGGTCTGAGCTGGGCCCTGGCCGTGGGGCAGGGGTGGGAGGTCAGGAACATTTCGGAGTCGGGGGAGAGGCAGGCTGATGATGGTGTCTCTGTGGGGTGAGGGGGAGAGAGAGTGAGTTGGGTCTGGAGCTCAGGAGAGGGACCAGGCCCGAGGCCACGGCCTGAGACAGGCTTTGGGATGAGAGGGTCAGCGGCCCCAGGGAGGGAGTGGGAAATCCACAGGGAGAGGGGTGGGCAGGGGAAGGGGCCCAGAAAGAGCCAGAGAAGGACTGGTCAGAGAAGGCGGAGAGAGGCGGGAATCAGACACTGAGTGAAGAGTGAGCGGCAAGGAGAGGTGAGCAGGGCCAGGACGCAAGCGTCCTGGGGTCAGTGGCTGGGACTGAGGGTGGCCCGGGGGAGGTGGAGGCAGGAGGAGGGGTGCACTTGGATCTGGTGTGGGTGCCCTCCCCAGGGTAGCTGCAAAGAGTGCATGCTTGGGTGGCAGCTGGAGGAGGAGGCAGAGGCAGAGGCTTTTAGAGAGGACTTAAAACCGTGAGCAAGGATGAGATAATGGGTAAGGCTAGAGAGGCAGCGCCTCCACTTCAGGGGCTGGGGGGGACCCTAGTGGGGGTGGGGCAGGTGAGGAAGATCAGACCTGGGGTCTCAGCGAAGCAGGAGGCCAGGGCAGGGCCAGGTGGAGCCGCCGAGGCAGAGGCCTGAAGCTGGGAGGCTTGCTGTGGAAAGTGAGAGGGGAGGGGAAAAGTCCGACTGAGATGGGAATCTGTGGCAGCTCCTTTCCCCTGGTGGAGGGGTTGGGGGCGGCTGGCTTCGGGGAATGCCTGTCAATGATACCGGGCGCCCCTTCCCATTCTCCTGGATCCCTGCTCAGGCTCCAGTCTTGAAAGGGCGGGGAGCTTCAGGGCTTCTCGGACCCCAAAGTCTGTGGGCTTCCTCCCTCCCACCAGGCCTTGCCACCAGCAGATGGGAATTTTCGTGATCCCAGTAACGCCAAGTTTACCTTTACCAGCACCTCCTGATGCTCACGAGAGGGTACTGTGTCTCCAGTACAGGGTATGAGGGATACCCAACAGGCAGGCGCCCAGTACCTTTCCCTAAAGAAAGGCAAAGGGGATGCCTCTGCTGCCTCTGGCCGCCTCTGCTGCCCCCTGCTGTATGATCCTGATTGGTGCAGAATAATAATCCTAATCGCTAACACTGGAGCACTGGTTCTCAAACTTTTTGGTCTCAGGATTGTTTCTCACACCCTAAAAATTATTAAGGACCCCAGAGAACTTCTATTTATATGGCTTGTATCGGTATTTACAGTATTATAAATTTAAACTGAGACATTTAAAATATTTAAGTAATTAATTTAAAATAGTTATAACAATCTTAGTAAATGTTAACATATCTTAATGAAAAACACCTACATTTTCCAAAACAAAAAATTAGAGGTGGGCTTCCCTGGTGGCGCAGTGGTTAAGAATCCGCCTGCCAATGCAGGGGACATGGGTTTGAGCCCTGGTCCGGGAAGATCCCACATGGTGCGGAGCAACTAAGCCCATGTGCTACAACTACTGAGCCCACGTGCTTAGAGCCCGTGCGCCACAACTACTGAGCCTGCGCTCTGGAACCCGCGAGCCACAACTACTGAGCCTGTGTGCCATAACTACTGAAGCCTCTGAGCCTAGAGCCCATGCTCTGCAACAAGAGAAGCCACTGCAATGAGAAGCCCGCACACCACAACGAAGAGTAGCCCCCGCTCACTGCAAGTAGAGAAAGCCCGCATGCAGCAACAAAGACCCAAGCAGCCAAAATTAATTAATTAAGAAAAAAATAAAGCATTTAAAAAAAATTAGAGGCATTTTTATATGTTTACAAAAAATGTTAATGGCTGGCCTAATAAAAGTCAGTTGGATTCTCATACCTGCTTCTGAATTCAGTCAGATGCAATATATTGTTTTGGTTAAAGTTTACAAAGAAAATACAGGCTTATACTGATATGAGTTAGAAAAGGGAGGAGTATTTTATTGGCCTTTTCAAATAATTGTGGCTATTATTTGATACTAACTTAATCTTGAAATATTTCTTGAAGTTTAGTTACTATTAAAATCTGAAACCATGGGACTTCCCCGGTGGTGCAGTGGATAAGACTCTGTGCTCCCAATGCAGGGGGCACGGGTTCCATCCCTGGTCAGGAAACTAGATCCCACGTCAGGAAACTAGATCCCACAGGCATGCTGCAACTAAGAGTTAGCATGCCACAACTAAGAAGCCCCAGAGCTACAACTAAGGAGCCCACCTGCCACAACTAAGGAGCCCACGTGCTGCAACTAAGGAATCCACCTGCCACAAATAAGACCCAGTGCAACCAAATAAAAAAAAAAATCAAACCATATCAATGAGATTTTCTTACTCAGTTACATTAAAATCCATTGGTCTCTTTTGCACTTTGTATCTTTTACCATGGATGATTTTGTAAAAGCATACATTGGCCATTTGGGAGAAAAAGGGGTTCACTGAGTCATGCAGATCTTTCAAATATTGATAAATTTCAGTATATAATATTAAAAATCAAATTTTTTGATTGGCAAGGTGTGGCTTCAGACAGGGCTCAGATGTCACCACCTCATGGAAGCGCCTCTGGGCTCCCACAGGCCCCTGGGCTTCCCTCCGTCCTCTCATTTACCAGCCGCTTCTGTGAATGTCAGCTTAGGTGTCTGCTTCCACCAGGCCACACCTGGCAGCTGGCACAGGGCCGGGTACATCGCGACACAATGGTGGTCATCATCACCCCTGTTTTACTGCCCTCTCCGGGCAGCCCAACCCTCCTGGGCAGGGAGAGCAATTCCTTCACTTATTCATTGCTCCATCCCTTTCCTCACTCTTTAAATACATTTATATTGAGTGTTTACTTTGTGCTCAGCATGGTTGTAACATTCTAACACAGCAGCAAAAATCTCTGCCTTTGTGAAACTTACTTTCCGGTAGAGGAAGGCAGACAATAAGATAAAAAAGAGAGAGAGAATGGTATATATTAGATGGGACACGCACTTTGGACAAAGAAAGAACAGCATAGACAGAGGAAAGTAGGGAATATCGGTGACGGGGTTACCATTTTAAACAGAGTAGTCAGGGAAGGTGACATTTAAGTAAAAACCTGAAGCAGACGGCAGGTGCAAAGGCCCTGAGGTGGGATGTGCCTGGTCTGTTCATGCCAGGAGGCCAACATGGCTGGAGTGGAGGGAGTGACTGGGTGGAAGGACGTAAAGGATGGTGTACAAGGTCACTGAGATCAGATCACGAAGGGCCTAGAGCCCATGGTGAGGAATATGACTTTTACTCCAATTGAAATAGAAAGGCACTGCAGACTTCTAAGTCATTTGCCTTATGAGTCAGACCAAGGGGGAGAGGGTAGAAGCAGGGAGAGCAGAATGAGGCATCAGGTGAGAGGTGATGGTGGCTCAGATCAGGGCAACAGCAGGCATGGTGAAGTAATCAGATGCTGGGGTGTCCTTGGAAGGTAGAACCACAGGATTTTCTGATGAACTGAACGTATGTTGTGAGAGAAATAAAGGAGTCAAGTATGGCCCCGAGTTTTTGGCCTGAATACTTAGAAGGATGGTGCTGCCATGATCTGCCATTGAGGAAGGTGATAGCAGGAGCAGATTTGGGAAACAGAGCAGAATTTGAGTTTGGACATGTTAATTCTCAGGTGTCTCTTAGACATCCAAGTGGAGACGTTAGGCATACAGTTGGGTTTAGAAGTCTGGAGGCTGGGAGAAGTCCAGAAACTCAGGAGCTGTTGCTTGTTCCTTCTCTTCTGCTGTTGTGGGAGCCCTGGAGCTCAGTCTTAGGGCTTCTCTTCTCCAGCAGAACCATTTGCTTGTCAGGCTCATCAATTGCAAAGCTTTAAGTACCTTCTCTGGACCTACAGCTCCCATAGGTATAACGGTTGGCGCTCTAGCCGCCATCTTGGTCTTTGAAGACATAGGTCACGCCCTAGGGTTGGAGGAGCCATGAGCTGGAAGGAGCCTGAACACCCGAGGACTTAAAAAGCAGAGCCTCCATACCACCCTTGAACCATCTATTTCCAGACTTTTATGTGAGACAGAAACAAACTCTCTTGTTGAAGCCAGAATGATTCTGTTATTTGCAGTTGAGCTTAATCCTGCAATGATACCTCCTGTTCACTGCATTATCTCATGCTCATCCTGACAATGGCCCTGTCGAATGGACGTTACCCGCCTCATTTTAGAGAAGAGGAAAGGGGGCTCAGGGATTTTCGGCAAGAGGCCAGTGCAAGGCTGAAGTGGGCTCAAGCCCTGGGCACTCCAACTTCTGGCCCTGCTCTCTCCGCCAGCCCCTGGGCCCACACCCAGGCTGACCTCCCTGTGTGCACTAATGCCTTCTGGGTTTCCCAGGGTTCTTTATCCAGGGCCCAGAATCATCTAATGAGAAGGAGGAACTGTCTTGGGGTCAGAGATGTTGCAGGGTGACAACTGCCCCGGTTTGCCCTGGACTGTCCCTCCTTTAGCACGAGGAGTCCTACATCCCTCAGTCATGGGCAAACCCGGACAGGTGGTCACCCTAGAGCTCTGGTCCAGCCAGGACCCATTGCTGGCCCTGTGGACACCCAGACCCTGAGCCATTACAACCTACCCACTTCCAGGCATTTATTCCCTCCCCATCCCTGAGCCCTGGGAGCTTGCTGAGCTGGGGCCTTAGGTGGGAGGCCCTGAGGTCTGGTGAGGGGCTGGGGCCGGGGTTAAGGCACCAGTCCCCAACATTTTTGGTACCAGGGACCGGTTTCACGGAAGACAATTTTTTCCAAGGAAGAGGGGAAGGTTTCAGGATGATCAGGCATTAGATTCTCATAAGGAACGTGCAACCTGGGTCCCTCGCATGCGCAGCTCACAGTCGGGTTCCTGCTCCTATGAGAATCTAATGCCGCTGCTGACGGGAAGCGGGGCTCAGGCGGTAATGCGAGCGATGGGGAGCGGCTGCAAATACAGATGAAGCTTCGCTCCCTTGCCTGCCGCTCACCTTCTGCTCATGGACCGGTACCTACCGGTCCATGGCCTGGGGGTTGCGGACCCCTTGGTTAAGGGATTAAGGAGATGGGGCTCATCCGTACTGGCAGGAAGTAACAGTCCAAATTCCATCTTGATTTCACCTTGCACTGGACTCAGAAGTCAGCAGCCCCCATACCTGTCTCGACCTTTTTTTTAATCCCCTGACTCTCTGCATATCCTGTAAACCACCGTCCCTCCCGCCCACCTCCCACCAAGAAAGCACAGAATCCCAGCCTGCTGTGGTCTGAGGCAATCAGGCTGACCCGAGGGTGCCCACCCACTCCTGTCTCCCCCCCCCCCAGGCACCCATCAAGCATGGCTGGGCCCTGACTCAGAATAGCACAAGGGGCTCGGCACTCAGAAAGACTCCTGTCAAATTCTGGCTCTCCTACCTTCTCCCCAAGTGAACTTGGCCAGGGATTTCACCTGTTGAGCCTCGGTTTTCTCATCTGTAAAATAGGGATAATAGTACTTACCACATTAGGCTGGGGCAGGGGTTCATGAGATAATGCCCCACGAAGCTTAACACAGGGCTTGGCACACGGGCAACACCCATACAGCTCGTCATCATCACTGTCATTGCGTTACCACTCCTCTGTGCCAGGGAGCCTTTGTGCTGGTTGCCAGGGCCCCAGTGATAAGCCCGAAGACATCCAGGGACTCCCCAGGGAAATCACAATCTGATAAGGACACAGGACACAAGACAGTTATCGAAAATAAAATAACTGTTCTAATGGAGGAGTGAACAAGGTGTGGTGGGAGCATCAGGGAGGAGGAGAGTCTCAACGGGGCCCATGGGGCACTGAGGAAGCCCCTCCTGGAGGGGGTGGAGCATGAGTGGAGCCTTGCAGAGAAGCAGATTTTTGCCAGGCAGATCCAGGCAATGAAGGAGCCTCTTGCGACTCACTGTGTCTAGGGCTCTCTTGTCCTGTACTAAGGGTGGGGTGGGAACCAGGCTCGTGCTGCTGGCTGGCGTCTCTGCAGAGGCTCCAGAAGCTTCAGACAAGAGGGCCCCAGCACCCCTCCCCCACCCCACCCTAAATGGAGGGTCAGACCCTCCTGTAGGACCAGACCATCCTGTAGGACCAGCAGGAGGTGTGTTCCCAGACCTGTCCTGCCGCCTCCGCCCATCACCCATCCTTGTTAAATCAGTTTTTTTAAGAGAGAATTGTCACTCTGCTCTGCTTCCCCTCCCTCCTGTAAGTGAAGAGGACTTCCAAAGAACTGTTGGGAGAGCGTGATATGTGCACCTAGAATCTGGGGGACACGGGGACCGGAACTCCTCTCACACACTGCAGAGTCTAACAGCACGGTTTGTGTGGGGAGGCGGAATGGGGTGGGGGAGGCCAGGGCTACCCTGGGAAGGGCTCGCTGCCGGCTAGACCACACAAAGGATGCCGGACTTGCCTGTTGGCCAGATGAGGGCCTGCCTGCCTGCCTAAGGCCGTGTCCAGCTGCCTGAGGACCCCTTTGGGGGAGGTGAGGAGATCTCCTGAGTTAAAGATCAACTTTGGACATCAACCATGTCCAAAGGGTCCCCGGCCAGATTACAACTGTGTCAGGCAAGGAGGGCTCTTTCTGCCCTTTCTCCCACTCTGCACTCCACCCTGAAGCGGCCGCAAGTAGTAGCCAGAGATGGTCATAGAGGGAGAGAAGGAACTTGTCGGCACGCTCCCCAGGTTTCTGGTTTCTGAGGTAAGCCCAGCCTGAAAGAAGGGTCTCATTCTGGACTGGAGAGATTTTGGAAATTTGGTATTACTTTGAACTCTATTTTTAAAAGAGAAATGTGTGGATGATTTCAAACATATATGAAATTAGAGAGATTAGTACAATGAATCTCCTAGGTACCCATCCTTCAGCTTCAACAATAGTCAGGTCAGGTCAAACTTGTTCAACCTGTGTCCTCAGCCCACTCCCTCTGATGGAATTTTGAATCAAATCTGTGAGAAAGAATAAAACAACTTCCTGCTTGCCTTTGAAAAATTAAAAATAAAAAAAGTCAGCATCCTCCCCTGTTTGATTAGGGCACTAGTCTAGGGCATAAACCTGAGATCAATGTGGGCAGGACCCACTAAGTCATTCCACTGAAGGCAGGGTTTATACCTGCTTCTTGCATCATGTGTTCCCACCACTCAGAACAGTGCCGGGCACATAGTAGGTGCTTAATAAATCATTCTGGAGCCTCTCCTCCTCCTTCTCCTCTGTTGCATCCCAGACAGCAGCTCTTCTTTGGGCATCAGCTGGAGCTGATACTTAGCCCTCCATCCAAGGCTGCGGGCAGGTCCTGCTCATAGCACCCCACCCTGGGGCATATGCCAGAGGCAGGATTACTGCGCAGAACACAAGAGCTGATGAAATCAAGAGCCTAACTCAGTGCTCCAGATGGCAGATGGCTGTTATCACAAAAGCAGTGGTAAGGAGACACTCAGAAGAAAGTTTTGAGTGGAGGGTGACAAGGGAAGACATTTTGGGGACTTCATTTCACTCTGCGGAAGGTGGGACAGAAGGGGTGAGAATGAAGCAGTGAGACAGTGAGGAGACAGGTAATGGAATCTGGGGAGAAGGGATGAAGGTTTGACTCCTTCTGGGAAGGAAGCAATGGGGGATGTGAAAGATGGGGGAGCTGGAAAACTTAGAGGCACAGTTCAGCTGCTGTGCCCTGACCCCTCCCACCTTTAAGCTCTGAGTCCTTCCTAGGACTAACTACCTGTGCAAAGTGAAAACTACTGTGCTCCCTGTCCAAAAATTATTAAGAATTTCAAGATAAAAATTGCAAATATTGCACCAGATTTATTTATACTAAAAAATTATTCGTTGTTCATCCGAAATTCAGCTTTAACTGGGAATCCTGTACGTTAGCTGGCAACTCTACTAGGGGCATCCTGGTGTCTCCTCCATTACCTGGGGCTTCTAGGAGGAGAACCCTCGAACTTCAGCCTGCATCAGAATCACCTGGAGGGCTTGTTAAAACAGATTGCTGGGCTCCATCCCCAGAGTTTCTGACTCATAGGTCTGGGTGGGGTCCAAGAATTTCATTTCTAACAAGTTCCAAAGTGATGCTGATGCTTTTGGTCCTGGGGCCACATTCTGAGAACCAAGGTTCGAGGGTCCATTACCACAGTGAAGCCCATGAATAGGATCCAGAAATGTGCAGTGACCCAAAATAACCACCAGAGGGCAGAGGCGCCCACGAGTCAGGCCTCACGGGGAGCCCACTGTCTTGGGGCTGGGCTTACACCTAGGCTGAGCAATTGCTCTGTGCCTGACCAAGTCCAGGGCCCTGGCTGTGATGAAAACATGGGTCAGACTCAGTGCCTGCTCTTGAGAAGCTCAGGGTCTGGTTAGGGAGACACAGGTGTTAACTGGCAATTATAATTGGCGCTGAGGTGCTGGGAAGCACAGAGTAGAGTTGGGTGGGGATTCTGTGGGAACCCAGAGAAGGCTGGGGGTAGTCAGGCAGGCTTCCTGCAGGAGCTTGTGGCCTGAACCATGAGTAGGAGTCACCCAGGTGGGGAGAAGAGGTGGAAGGGCATTCTGCACAAGTACAAGGGCATGCAGGCTGGGAAATGTCAGGTGTTACCAAGGGCTAGCACAGAGGCAGGGGGGAGAATTGGTGGGTGAATACCTGGCGAGGCTGGTGGGGGCTTGATTGGATCCTAAAGGTCTCAGGGAGCCCCAGGAGGGTTTTAACTGATGGTATGTTAGAATGATCCCCAGGCAATGGTGTGGAGGAGGAAAGACCAGAGGCAGGGAAGCTAGAGAGGTGGCCGGCACAGTGGTCCAGGGAAAGGGTGACCAGACAAAGCAAGAATGGCAACAGTCTCATTCATTCATTCATTCATTCGTCCACTCATTACACACATTTATGGAGCAACTTCTCTGATCTAAGCCCTGGGCTGGATGCTGGGATTTGGTGGCCTTCTCAGAGAGCTTACAATCTAACAGGAAAGGCCACCAACCAACAGCTCATGGCACAGTTAGCCAGCCAGTGATATCTGTGGTCCCTGAGGGATCAATACAAGGGATGCCAAGGAAGCCAAATGGCAGGGTCTGGGCAGAGGTGGGGGGTGGGAGGCATCTCCCAGGAGAGCCCCTGACCTGGGCATCCTGACCTAGCAAGCACAGATGCCTCATTCAGCCAGACCTTGGCGCCCTCCCCACTGCAGCCCAGAGCTAACAATATGGCCATTGAAGTTTGCTGCCACTGCTCGAGGTCCAGCCTTTCCTGCTCCCATTCTCCCTCAGCCACACAGTCCTGGCCTTCAGCAGGGAAGAAAGAGCAGGATTATATGCAGGTACGAGGGGCTGGGCCCACTCCTCGACCACAGTCAGTCTGGCCCCCAGCTCCAGGTGGGCACCCGGGCTGGCACCTTCCTCAAACATACAGGGCTCTCATTCTAAGCATGTGAAGGGTTGGCCAGCTAGAAGCAGGGGGAGAGAGGAGATGACCTTACGTGCCAAGAGAATGCTCTCTAAGGGCTGTCCTGGCTGCTCAGGGTTCCTGGAACACACCACATTCATCTGCAGCGGTGAGATTGGCCCCATGGATGAAGTGAATTACAATCAAATTAACTGGAGCACTGCTCTCTAGAAGGGTGGCCTTTTGCTATTCTGAGAACATGCCTAGTTTTTTCTAGCCTTGGGGCCCTTGCACATATAGTCCCCTCTGTTTGGGTTGCTCTCCTCCAGTCTAAAGTTTTCAGGGGGTTGGCTTCGTTGGCAGGCAGAACAGTGGCTCCCAAAGGCATCCAGGTGCTAATCCCTGCATATGTTAACTTACATGGTAAAGGGGACTTTGCAGATGCGATTTGATATTTATTTATTTGGCTGTGCCGGGTCTTAGTCACAGCACACGGGATCTTCACTGCCGTGTGCAGGATCTTTACCTGTGGTGTGTGGGATCTTTTTTTTTTTTTTTTCAGTTGCGGCATGAGGGATCTTTAGTTGCGGCATGTGAACTCTTAGTCATGGCATGTGGGATCTAGTGCCCTGACGAGGGATCGAACCTGGGCCCCCTGCATTGGGAGTGCGGAGTCTTAGCCACTGGACCACCAGGGAAGTCTCCTACAGATGTGATTAAATTATGGATCTTGAGATAGAGATATTACCTGGTGGCCCTATGTAACCACAAGGTTCCTTATATGAGGGAGGAGGGGAGGGGGGTCAGAGAAAGATAGGTGATGACAGAAGCAGAGGTCAGAGAGAGGGGCAGCTATGAAGATGCTACACTGCTGGCACTGAGGATGGAGGAAGGGGTCATGCGTCAAGGAGTGCAGGCAGCCCCCTAGAACCTGGAAAGGATGAGGAAACAGACTTGCCCCAGAGCTTCCAGAAGGAACGCAGCCCTGCTGACCCATTCTAGTCTTCTGACATCCAGAACTATAAGAGGAATAAATTTTATTGTTTTAAGCCACTAAGTTTATGGTAAGTTGTTGTAGCAGCAATAGGAAAACAATACAGCCTCTCATCATTCAGTTCTCAGGTTACACCCCCTGTAAAGTACTCATCCCCGCACCTCCAACCACCAGCTTTTGTTTCTTCGTAGCACTTACCATTACCTGGAATTATCAGATCTGTTTCTTAGCGTATAGCCTGTCTCCTCCAGACGCATGTGAGGCTCCTTGAGAGCGAAGGACCTGTTTGTTCCCTCCTGTGCTCTTTGCACCCAGAATAGCGCCTGGTGCGTAGTGAGTCCTTGATGAATGTTGGTTACATGAAAGAAGGAATAAATAAAATAAATAAAGGGCTTAGGGCTTCCCTGGTGGTGCAGCGGTTGAGAGTCCGCCTGCCGACGCAGGGGACACAGGTTCGTGCCCCGGTCCGGGAAGATCCCACATGCCGCAGAGCGGCTGGGCCCGTGAGCCATGGCCGCTGAGCCTGCGCGTCCGGAGCCTGTGCTCCGCAACGGGAGAGGCCACAACAGTGGGAGGCCTGTGTACAGCAAAAAAAACAAAAAACAAAAAAAAGGGCGTAGTATGATCTCTCTCCCCTGTGTGCACTGAAGGCAAGGGAAGGGAGAAGCTGTGGCTGGCTGGGGGAGTCTCCCAGGCTATGAGAAGGCAGAAGGGGTCTTCGGAGCTTGGAGGTCGGAAGGAGAGAGGCATGGAGGGTGGAGGAGCCGATCTCTGCGTGCCTGTGGGAGTTACAGTGGCACCTAACACAGAACTGGTGCACAGACTTCCTAGCGTACAGCCCTCTCTGGTTTCAAACTCAGCACCTTTTATTTTTCTTTTGTCTCTCAACCTGGAAGACAGGCTGTTGAAAGGAACCATTGTTCTCACTTTGCAGATGGGGCACTGAGGCACTCAGTGACTTGAGAGTGGGAAGATATCCAGGTGCATCTCTGGCAAGGGCTCATGGGATCTGGGAAGTGCCTGAGGCTGCCCTGTCCCCGGAGCCTTCCCCAGGCCCTGCAGGCTTCCAGCTGCTGGACAGCCCTTCTGTCCATCTGCCTGGGATGCCCTTCCACACCTCGCCTTCTCTCCGGGCTGGGACTAGGGTGAGGAGAGTGAGACATTCACCCTGGGTGCAAATTACAAGGGGCACCCCGAACCTCAGGAATCAGAAGAAATAAGCTTTCCATGCAATATTTTTTAAAAATCAAAGTTAATGCCAAAAAAAACCACGATGAACAAAATATCAAAATTTTAAATAAACCCTTTTTTTTCCCATTTGGCTCAGCTCCAACATGGCTTGACACAGTACTATTTTATTGTCCTTGTCCAGGACTGGCTATGTGATATGTGAGGCCCCTCCTTCAAAAATTATTCCAAATTTCAAGATGGCAACAGCAGAATATGCAACCAAGTGTGGCACCGTGTCAGACTACACAGGTCGCATGCCCAGGAAGTTGGCCCTGATCCTGTCTTTATTTAAAACGTTGATATTTTGTTCATCATCTATTTTTTTTAGCATGGATTTTCATTGTTTTAAATATTGCATGAAAATATTACTTATCTTCATTACTGTGGGTTTTGGTGTTCCCATTGATTGTGCACCCGAGGAGGCCACCTCCCTTTTCTCACGCTCCCCGAGCCTTCTCTGCTTGAGGTGAGCTCCTTCTCCACCCCAGGCAGCCTCCTCCAGGAAGTCTTCCCTGCTCCCATCCCTGCATGGGCTCTGGCAGCCCTCTGCCTTCTCCCCTCTGTCACAGCCTTGAGCAGCCTGTGTGAGCTCCGTTGCTTAAGGACAGGGGGCGGATCTGGTTTGTTTCTGTGTTCCCAGGACAGGGCCTGGCTCAAAACATTTGCTCAGGAAAAGTTGGTTTCGAGTGAAAATGAGTGGCCTGCCAGCGTCTGGAATTCTGTGTCAACATGATGCCTTTGTCAAGTCCTTCTGTCTCGAGAAGGACCTTGGTAAAACCCCCTGGAAATGCCCAGTGGTGGCAGAGCCAGCTCTGTGGGCACTGGGCCTGCTTGTCCCCCACACCCCTCCCCCAGGACACTGTGGGAGACCCAGTCCCACTCCAGGGGGCAGGACAGACCTCCAGCAGGACGCGGGGACGGGCCAGCGCTGTGGGTGTGGATGAAGGCGGAGAGGGCCCCCCGTCAGGACTTTGGTATCAAGGCAGCCTCATCTCTGTGCTGTGCTATCCCCGCCTGTGGCCTGGCACTGGCCCATCGCTCACCGTACAAGCCGCACTGAGCTGCTGCGTGGCTCCTAGCCTCAGGGACTCACAGTCTTGCTCCCATGACTGGGCTTCCTGTCTTGGCCCTGGGACCAGGCTTGTCTAGATCTGCAGCTGAGACCCTTTCTGACACTCAGCCCCACTCCTGCCAGTCTTCCAGGGCTGGGTCCCTTGAGATCGCCCCCTTTAGATCCTGGGACTCTGTCAGACCTGGCCACCACTTGTCCAGATCCCCCTTCTTTGTGGCCCTGACACTGGGGCCTGGGCAGGGTTAATGAAGAAGAGGCTTGTAGGCGGTGCCCAAGATTTGGACAACTCTGAGTCCTGGGCATCAGCGATGCTAGTGTGACACTCCCCAGTTGGCTGCAGCGGACAGAACCCCGGACCCCAAGCAGGGAAACCTGGCTTCAAATCTAGGCTCTATCATTCCTGGGCTTTCTGAGGGCTCAGTTTCTTGATCTGCAAATTGGGAATGAAAATGCCTGCCTCACAGCAGGGATATGGGAGTTAACAGAGAATGAAAGCGCTCCCTGTACAAAGCGGGCATCAATAAATGCTCGTTCCCTTTCTCCTGTGTCTACTTTGGGCGCCCAGACTGGTCAGCTGTGCCCCTGGTAACCCCCTTCCCCCTCCAGCTCCCACGCCTTGACTTCTTTTTCACAACTCTCTGTCCTAGCGAAAGAGATGGGGAAACTGAGGCTCAGAGAGATCAGGGACTTGCCCGAAGTCACACACAGAGTCAGAGGCTGAGCACAGGCTGGCACCCAGGACCTGACTCTCACCCTGGGCTCTGCAGGTACCAGGTTCCTCCGCTCCCATCTCCCCATCTGGCCTTGAGAATGCGGAGCCTGAGCTGTGCAGCGGCATCGGCTGGGGCCCCTCCCCCGCCTCACGCACATGCACACAGCCGAGGGCTCTGGGTGCTTCCATGAAAGGCGTGTTTCCCTCCTGAGTCAGAGCACACCCAGAGCAGACAGCTCCAGCCTGCCCTAAGAGCTGGTCCCTCCTCCCCACTGGAACCTCTGGGCAGCGGCCAGCACAGCTGCATCCCCTCAGCAGGGCCTGCAACGATAGGCCCATGTTGCATCAGCTTGGCCTGTCCCTGTGCCGGCTCCTGCCCGCCAGCCAATGGGGCCCGGCCGAGTGTACAGATCCTGGCTCTGACCCACCCCACCAGCCACGGAATCACCACGCGGCAGCCTGGTCCTCCCTCGGCATTCTCAGAGAGGGAGGAGGGGACAGAGGGCATCGTGGCTCCGTCTCCTCCAGCATGGCCTTCCTCCCTCTGCCCGCCCACCCACCCCACTAGCGGCCCGGCCGGCTCCTCCTTGATTCTCCCTCCTGGAGGTGGCAGAGGATACTCCCCCCTCTGCCTGGCATGGGCCTGTTTCTCCCCAGCCTCTGTTCTCAGCCTCTGTGCCTGCTCTCACCCACACCGACCATCCCATGGCATCCATTAGTCTCCTGTGCCACAATCCCAAATCCCAGCCTGGCCTCTCCTGAGTGCCAGACTCACGGATGCTACAGCTTCTTGGATGCCTCCTATCTACAGACAACAGAGCTCACTACCTTCCCCCTAGAGCCTCCATCTCAGAGAGGGGACAGTTTGCCACCTATTTACCCAGGCCACACCCCCGAGAGTCCGCTTCCCTCCTTCTCCCTGGCCCTCCAAGCCCCAGTCCACTGCTGGACCCTCTTAGCCCCATGGCCCCTGCCCGGGTCCAGGCACCAGAATCCTGCTCTGGGTTATTGTGACATTCTCCTCTCTGGCCTCCCTCTGTCACTCTCCACTCAGCAGACGCAGAACTCCTTTAAAAACTCCAACGAGACCTTGTCATTTCCCTGCTAAACTGCCTTCAGGAGGGGCGCCCAAGTTCTTGCTAGACCAGGACTGGCCTGGCCACCTTCTGCAGCTCTGCCCACACATACTCCTGTCCCTTCACATGGTGACCTTTGGCATGACTCTTCTGTCCCCACTGGCTGCTGCCCATGAAATCCTGCCACAATCAAGCTCATTTTAGCCTGGCCTGAGGCCATGGGGGTGGAAAATGCTGGCCCTGGCCAGACAGGCTCCAGCTCCTGCCTCCCAGGCTCCCCAGAGCTGCAGTGAGGGGCCCCGAGCCCCAGGCCCCATCACGGCCCGTGCTTCCCCAGCACCTACTCAGACATGGCCTTCAAGCCTGGCTTGATCTCCCACTGGATGTTGCTTTTCTATCTACTTTATTGATTGTCAAAAAGTGATTATAAAAGTAATGTGTGCTATTGAAAAAATTCAGAGAAGCAGAGAGTTGAAAATAGACATAATGTGTATGTCCATCTCCAAAGATAGGATTAAACCATTTAAGAGTATGTCCTTCTGGCCTTTTTCTACGAATGTTATGCAGATCTCTCTATATTTTTGAATACACATTCATTGAGGAAAAAAAGCTCGAAATAGTAGAAATGGTTTAAAAATTAGGTGGAGGGACTTCCCTGGAGGTGCAGTGGTTGAGAATCTGCCTGCCAGTGCAGGGGACACGGGTTTGATCCCTGGTCGAGGAGTGGGATAAGGAGGGTGGGAGGGAGACGCAAGAGGGAGGAGATATGGGGATATACGTATGCATATAGCTGATTCACTTCGTTATACAGCAGAAACTAACACAACATTCTAAAGCAATTTTACTCCAATAAGGATGTTAAAAAAATTAAAAAATAAAAATATGAACATAGATACACGTACAAGGATGTTCATTATAGCCTCATTTGTAAGAGCCAAAAATTAGAGACAATGTCAGTAAGGCAAGGACTATTGGCAGCCACCATAAATGTGGAAAAGCCATTTTAATCCTCGGAGAGCTTAATGGATTGGTGGATAAAAAATGCAGCAGCTTATAAAACAGCATGTTTACGAAAATTCCATGTGCAGAGGCACAGATGTGTGGAAGGATGTTTACATTTCACCAAAAAGTCAATTCTTGTTACTAGGTGATTTCCACCTAATTTTTTTTTAAATAAATTTATTTATTTATGGCTGTGTTGGGTCTTCATTGCTGCACGCAGGCTTTCTCTAGTTGCAGTGAGTGGGATT